GGTTCACTCACACCTCCATCCCCATCTGCACGACTCACCTCCCCATCGCAAGTGTAAAGGAAGAACAACCATATCCTCCAGGTCTCCTCATATCAGGCGGTACGGCCTTTCAGCATGGCAGTGCTCTCTTCGTGTGTACAAATTTCTTTCACAATCTCCGACCAAGCCTGGTAGGTGTGGGGTCCGGCCTATGCCAATGTGTTAATATGAGATAAGTCTGTGCGGGGCCATCAATAAGTGTTTGGTCAGCGACCGTTTGTACTTTGATATTGGGAGGTTAGTGTAGCCATCCATCCATGAGCATGTCTGATGGATGGAAGCGTAGCCCTTTGTTTGCCATAGCGGTGGCCAGGCCATGTCGAACACCTGTCTCCTGTAGGGAACCAGTTTTGGACAGTCCCAGAAGATGTGTACGATTGATGCTTCCATGCGCCGGCATCTCCAGCATCCGTGCTGGACATCAGGTAGGAATCTATGCAATATTTGCAGGGGGCTATACCAGTGTGTGAGAATTTGAAAGTTGCTTTCTTGGAAATACGTGCTTTGGAACTCCCTCTTCTGCCACTCTTGGTTTGAGAACAATTCTTGTAGAGCTGTCTCCCATTACGCTGCGGATTTAAGTGGAGGTAGGTGATCAGCTGAAAGAAACAGCTGATACATGTTAGATATACGCCTCAAAATAATTGCTCTTTTTTGGAGCAGATCTTTTTGAAAGGTAGAAGTTGCCTGCAAAGTGACCGTGGGCAGGAGATAGAGGAATAGAAATGTTTAAGTTGATGGAACTGAAAAAGCTCAAGCAGGGTTGGGGCCTAATCCTGAAAAAGTGTATGCAAAGGTAGTAAAGTTCCTTCCCGGCATATCTTAGAGAGGTGGATGTATGGGCCTGTGCCTAAAAATTAGAAGGGAATTCAGGGTTTGCCGTCACTGGGTACATGGGACCCTTCAAGGGTATAAGGAAGAGTTTGAACCTCATCAAGTACCAAACGGTCAGCATGGACCCTACCAGGGGATGAGAGTTCTTTGCCATGGACTCCTCCAGCCACAATGTTGATGGAAGGTGGCCCTGTATTATTTTGGTCTCCAAGGAAGGCAAGACATGACTCGAGGAAGTATTATGCCACTCCACGATCCATGCCAGGTGTGTGGCTCTGTAGTAGTCTTGAAAAGAAGTTAGACTCAAGCCTCCCTTCTGCTTTGTTCTGATAAGATAATTCATCCTATGTTTAGGTTGTGTCCCTTTCCACACATATCGTATCATTGCCGTGTTCAATGAGGAGAAGTGTGATCTGGGGAGGAGTATTGGGATGGTTTGATATAGGTATAGAATTCTGGGGAGTATTCATCTTAATGCTATTTATTCGCCCAATCCAGAAGATATGAGGTAGGGCCCTTCCTCATAGATTGTAAGTCTGTTTGAGCAGGGCCTTCTTTACCTCCTGTGTCTTTTATATTCCATAACTTAATTACTTGTCAAATATTCCCATTTTATAATTTTAAAGCACTGCAGAATATGTTGGTGCTGTATAAATGCTAATAATAATAATAATATTTCCATTAGTATTCACTTTTCAAGTCAATACTTTGTAGATTCACCTTTCACTGTGAGTCTGTTGGTTACATCTATGCCAGCTTTGCATATCGTTATCATGCAATTTCTGAAAATTCTTCTTGACAAAATTGCTTATGTTCTGTCAGGTGGGACGAGGACCGCAATTGTCAAGTCTTTTCAGAGATTCTTAATGAGATTGAGATTATTTTTGTTTTTTTAACAATGGTTTTCTTCATGCCAAATGTCCTAGAAGCCAAGTTAGTGAAGTTTCCAGTTTATAGTTCTTACGTGAATAGTTTCTACCATCTCAGCTGAGGATTTCTAGCTCAAAAGTTAACATTGACCTCTTGCAGGTTTCTCTAATATCCTACTTACTTAGTCACAAAGTTTTAGCGGATGGTCTACTCTAGGCAGTGTCACAAGTCTAACATATTTCTTCCATTTCACCATTATCGATTCATCTTATTAAAGTGGTTTTACTGTCTTGAGTCTCTTTGCATTGTCCTGCCATTCAACATCAAACCATTTTCAATTTTTTAATGATAAACAAGAGTCCCCAGCAACCAATCCTCTCTGCTGCTTAGGCTAATGAGGAAGCAATAACCTGAGCCGCAATGGGTGAATTTGATTGGCTGTATTCCCCCGGTATCACACTTTCATTCAGCGCTAAAAGTTTTTAATGTTTTATGTTTTAATGCTAAGTGTGAGTTCCCATCTTCTCTGTACTTCTTGAACTAACAAGGAAATATCAGCCTGAGCACCAATACGAACTGGCTGAGAGTGTCAACATGGCGGCATTCAGCCTATCACAGTGCCATTGCAGGTATGAATTGGCTACAAGGAAGTATGTAATCTCTGCCTTAGCCACACCTCATGTAGGGGTAAAACTATGGGAAGCCAGGGATCCACATTCCAAGTTAAACAGCTAAAAAATGTCTTAAAACTAAATGGAGGGACAGTGCCTGGGGACTCCAGACATTTGAATTAATTCAATTAGATGAAATGATATTGGTATATTGCCTACAATGTCACTTTAAAGGACCACTATAGTGCCAGGGAAACATACTCGTTTTCCTGGCACTATAGTGCCCTGAGGGTGCCCCCACCCTCAGGGACCCCCTCCCGCCGGGCTCAGGGGGGGGGAGGAAGGGGTTAAACTTACCTTTCTCCAGTGCCGGGCAGGGGACTCTCCTCTCCTCCTCCATAGCGACGTCATCGGCTGCATGCGCGGCAGGAGCCGCGCGTGCATTCAGCCAGATCATAGGAAAGCATTCTCAATGCTTCCCTATGAGACAGCCACTAGAGGCTGGATTAATCCATTTATAAACATAGCAGTTTCTCTGAAACTGCTATGTTTATAGAAAAAAGGGTTAATTCTAGCTGGACCTGGCACCCAGACCACTTCAATAAGCTGAAGTGGTCTGGGTGCCTATAGTGGTCCTTTAATAGGATTTCACAGAATGTTCAATATTTTGGATATATTTTTTTTTATAACCCAACCTTGATGGTTGCTGCTCCAGAACTTTATCCAAGAGTTATAGTAATATTCCCTTAGTCTTTAAAATGCTATTATTTAGATATTATCTTTCATAAACTCTAGGGCCATAAAAAGAAAATAATTTATTTAGAGATATATTTTATTTGCCCATATGTAGACTTCATTCAACTATGTGGCTTCTGATAGCAATTGGAAACTGGGACAAATGCTCTAAACCAACAAATGTCTGTTTTTAGTTTAATTAACTTTTCTGCCAAAATAAGAAATACATTGCTCTTTCAAAGAGCTATATGGTATACTAAAACAATAAATATAAAAATATCTAAAAATTACTTTCTCAACTTTAACGCAACAGTACAAATGTGGAAACACACAACATGGTGGAAGGGGGGAGGAAGCGGATCCTTGCAACTTGAAAGTATGAGTCTAGGCAGGCATTTCCAGCACTTTTGACTAAAATAATCCTGTGTACATTTGTCACTGTTCTGACAGATTATTTGTGGATGTGTGTAGCTTCATACAATAGAACTTGGCTAGAAGCAAACTGAAACACAGTGACACGTATAAGAAATATGGCATAACTTGTAGATACACGGAACAAAAGGCTCTGAACACAGTCCACAGAGCTGTAGGCTCCTAGTGATTGCAAGTACTAGAGATTAATTGTAGTAATGTCAAAGCTGTAGGCCGGCAAAACAGCTTATCTTGAGGGATTTGATGCTGGTACCTAAGCTGGTTCACTTTAAGAAGAACAGGGCTTTGTACACAAGGTGTCATTAGTATGCTATAATTAAATTCATGCTTTTGCAACAAAAAAGATCACATAATGTAATAAATTCTAGCTGACTAAAGGTGCAATTCTGTTCAGGGAACACTGTTAATAAATGTGCTGCCAAATGGCTATTTTTTAAATGACAAGCATGTAGACATTTTACTGAAGGGCATCAATAATTTTAAGGAAGCAGTAGAAGTCAGTTTTTTTTTTTACAAAAGAGTTGATAACTCTTGGTGTCCTTTTTCTTGCCTCAAGTTCCCAGTAATTGAACAATATGGCCAGGGTAACATTAATCTAAGTAAACTATTGAGGTAAGTTGTGTCATGGGTACCGCAATTATAAAATGTACCTCAATATTAACTTGTAAGATAAACAAACACAGGGCCTATGAAGCCAATTACATTTGAACAACTCTGCTTTCTTTAGCACTGATACGTCTAAAATTAAGTGTCATTATCATTTCCTAGAACTATACATCTTATGGGAAGCTGACTTAAAAGAACACTATAGGGTCAGAAAAACATGTATTCTTGACCCTATAGTGCAAAACCCACCATTTAGGTGACTTGCCCCCACTTAGCCCTCTTAAAAGTTAATAAAACTCACCTTATTTTCAGCGCCGCGCAGGTCTGCTGGTGCTGGTCCCGTCCCCTTGGTGACATAATCAGAATTGCTGATTTTCCATGGGGAAAGCATTGGATTGGCTAAAATCAGCAAGTGGGGGGGGGAGAAATGCAGTTTTGGCCAATCAGCACCTCCTTATAGAGATGCATTAAATTAAAGCATCTCTATGAGGAAAATTCAGCGTCCCCATGCAACGCGTGGAGATGCTGAACGGCAGTGCTGCTTACTGTGTAGCACTGCCCCAGGAAGCACCTCCAGTGGCCATCTGAGGAGTGGTCACTTGCAGATATCCCTATGATGAGTAAACACTGCCTTTTCTCTGAAAAGGCAATGTTTGCATGAAAATGCCTGCATATAATGATTAAGCTGTAGTTGTTCTGGTGACTATAGTGTCCCTGTAACTCCAAACACAGAACACAACTCCAATGCTGCTTGTATACTTGTGTAGTTTCCCAGGATATGAGTTGTACATATTGGTACTCAATACTCTGATATATAACATTTAGACTTTAATAATTCTAATGTAAGTCTGCTTTCATCTTTTTGTCCTACAGGTGGCAGCATTAGGCTGGTAAATGGGAACAGTAGCTGCCAAGGCAGAGTGGAAGTGTTGTACCAAAACAGCTGGGGAACTGTGTGTGACGATGACTGGGATTACAACAATGCTCAGGTGGTGTGCAGGCAGATGGGCTGTGGACCAGCCATTATTGCTACAACCTTGAGTTATTTTGGCTATGGCAGTGGCCCCATCCTACTTGACAATGTTGATTGTGATGGTACAGAGAAAGATCTTACAGACTGCTTCCATCTAGGCTGGGGCCAGCATAACTGTGGACATCATGAGGATTCTGGAGTTATATGTCAAGGTGAATAATGTATTTCCATCATAAATGTGACGTTCTTCACTTAACAGGCATCTGAAATATTACCATCAATCAGCATGTGGCTGTATTTGAACTGAAAATCTATGGGTTTCACAAAATTAGTGCTGCTCTGATTAGTGTATTGTTATATTTCCATAAAGAATGGGGATAGTAGTATATTCTATAATGCACAGCCGGTGTTATTTAAATATCAGATTTCAGTCTCTACTTTCACAAAAACATGGGTGTTTTATTTTGTGATTAATAAAGCCTAATAGATTGTGTAAAATACTACTTAGACTGAGTCAGCAGTGCAAGGGCCATTCCTTGCTGTGTTACTTCTTGTCTCAAATTAGTCACATTCTTTCTTCAGATCCTTCTCCAAATAAATGTCTTTTCATTAAGTCCCCAAACCTGGTGGCCTTTCCCACCTTTCCTGCATCCTCGTTACTTTTTCTCTTTTTTATGATTCTCTACCTCCTCAATCTCTTTCGGTCCAACTATTTCTCCCACTATATTTCTTTTGATGCCAACTCACTTTATCTTTATCAGTCTCTCACCTTACACTTCCGTTTTCAGTCTGTTTCTTCAACTTTTCCATGTCTTTTTATTACTATCTTTAGTGTTTTCTGTTTTACAGTATCTTCCCTTTATCATTACATCCAGTCGCTAACTTTGTGTTTTCCAGTCTGTTCCTCAATTATTTTGTTAGATCGAGTGGCTTATAGGTCTTAGTTGAGAGGCTGAATACACAGAATTTCAAACATGAGAATGAGTTAAAAAAAATAAATAAAGAGGCAATCATGGAAGGCAGTTTAACAGAAAGCTGGGGGAGCATTTAAAGGGACACTGTGGGCATCAATACAACTTTAAGGCTTTAGGCTTTGGACTCATTAATTTGCTGTACTTTTGCATGCTCAAATCGGTATAGTTTTTTCACGCACACAAAAAAATGTTTTGCAGAATGCTGCACCGTAAACCTTTAGCCACACCCACTCATTCGAGGAAAAATGTCCTTATCTAAGGTATAGCTCAGCTCCCAATAGCAATGAGTGAGCTGAGTTTAACTCACAACCTGGCTGCAGACAGTCAGAGAAACTGCAAACAGGTAGTGATATCCTTACTGTAAGTCTCACTGGGTGTTCTCAGATCATTCAGGACTGTCAGTGACTGAGCTGTGTGCATGGCTTTGATATAAAGTTTTTTTGGGAGTGAGGGGGTGTGGTTAGGGCAGCAGGCTTGTGGTGCTGAGGGCTGGGTTTAAAGTTAAGCTGAGTTTATGTCTTATGTCCATCAACATCATTCATTATCTGCCTATTACCAGTTCATAAATAAGCCTATCGTATAGTGGTGAAGCACAGTGAAAATGTTGGAACTGTATTAATGCTGATAATAAATAGTAATAATAACAGGTTTAGAGAAAGCATTGAGGTTGTTGCAAAGGAACTATTTAGGGTTAGGGTGATTGGGGTTTAGGTTAAAGAATAGTTAGGGTTAATGTTAAGGAGTGTTTGAAGTTAGGGGGTTTAAGGATGGTGATGCTTATTGTTAGAAATAGGTTAAAGTAAGTTAGATTACATAAGATGTTTAGTTTGAAACAAATTTAGTGCTTTAGAGGGGTTAACGTTATGACGAAAAGGTATTTAGTATTGTGTGGTAAAAGTTAATGCAATGCAGTCCTGAGTTATACACAATAACTTGCTGCTCTACAATCATAGACGATGAAGAGGATCGAGCACTCTATGTCAAACAGCTGCCAGTTGGGCAGACAGTTGCAATGAGAATTGCCTGGAGCATTGCTTTCATCCTTTATATATTTCCCCTCACACATACACCTGATTACGCCACTGCCGCAGGACACATTTATCCATCTGTCCACTTTGTTATTATAATAAATATGACCTGCTCAAAAAGTGCATTATCAGTGCCAAAGGTTCCCTTACAGGACACGTGTCTTTAGATAGTTGCCTACTAGAGTGCAGGTGATTTTATAATGGGAAATATGGACATTTATAGTCAACGCACATTGTGCACCAGTCAGCCCATAATAAGTCATGTGTGTGCATTAATGAGTTATATGTGTGCATTAAAATGAATTATATTATTGCTTACCTGACAGTTCCTCACACCTAAGGCCATAATAACATATTTTAAAAAATGGAACTTAAAATTCATTCTTAACGGACATAACACCAGAAAAAGTAATTAAGACAGTGTGGTGTTATCTAAACTGTAAAGATACATATTTTTGTCCTACACCACTTACTGTCACGGTAGTTGTACCCCAACACGCAGAAAATAGGAAACCCACAAAAGGTGGATTCAAAAGACGTATTACCGAGCCTTAGAATGTCCAGACTTAACGTATTAGCGAAAATCAAGGTCAAGAACAAATCAAGGTCAGGGATACAGAAATATACAAAGTCAAGACAAAGCAGGGTCAGGATAACAGAAGTCACAAGTCACAAGTCAAATACGAAGCCGAGGTCAGGATACCAGAAATCACAAGTCAAATACAAAGCTAAAGTCAGGATACCAGAAATCACAAGTAAAATACAAAGCCGAGGTCAAACACAAGAAATCACAAGGGAATCTCTAGGAGCACTAAATGAGGATCTAACATGAAACCACGATAGGGCAATGAATGAAGGCTAAAACAAGCCTTAACTAGGCTCACAAGATTTCCCATTGGTCCACGTTATCTCTACGACCCCAAACAGCATTGGGTTGCCTAAATCAGTGTTCCCTAACCCAGTTCTGATGGACCACCAACAGTTCAGGCTTAAAAACAGGGAAATACATAAAGCCTGGACTGCTGGTTTTCCATGAGGACTGGATTGGGAAATACTGGCCTAGATGACCTGGTTCCTTTAAGGTCATGACGTCATGGCAAAATATTTTATATAAATGGGCTGCAGTTCATCCCGCGAGCAGAAAGAGCCATTCGTGGGACCGAAGGTAAGTACTATCTATTCAGGCAGCGAGGACTGAGGCAATGTTCTGCCCGCATGGCCGGAGGAGAGGAGCGGTGCGGGCACCGGATAAAGGTAAGTTTGTGACACGTACCTGGTGCCCCTGTCTCTGCAAGTGAGCACCACATCAGCTACTCACCCTCAGATATTTTTGCTAGTGTTGCTAGTGATGGTAGGTGCTGTAGCACCACCATTTTTGTGATGACATTAGGTCAAACTCACTGCATACGGTCATTGTAGATACCCACTCATGCGTGGTTATCGAGGGAACACCCCCGGGCCTATAAATACTAAAGCTTACCATCTACTCAGTGCCCTGTTGTGGTTTCCTTGTGATTCCAATAGCACATTCCTTATTATATTTCCTGATTTCCTGGTTTGGCTTGTCTGACTACTGTGTTATCTGTACTCCTTGACCCAGCTTGGCTTCTTGTTATTGTGTACTTCTGGAATCCCTGACCTTGCTTTGTTCCTTTACCTTGCTATTTCACCTACTATAGGCATTGCATTAAGCCCGGTAATACGTTGCTATCCTTTGTTTCCCTATTTGGATAGCATAGGTTTAAGCACTACATGAAGGGTTGTTATACTCACCTTGACTCTAACCTTTCAAATATTTACCATTTAGAGACTTGTACTATTACAGTTGATTTATATTTATTCAAAATGATAAAATATAGAAAGTTGTCAGCAATAGGTTTAATACCTTTTAGCAAATCATTTTAGCATTCATTTTTTAAATTCTAGGTTTGAAAGAGTCAGAATGGCTTTCTAAAGGAAGTGGCTTTGAAGTAACAACAGAATCTGCAACACCTCCAAAAGATGGTATGTATTCTGCATTATTTGTGAGGTCAGAAGAACAATTTTTAAAGATGAGACTACTATTTTATAATAACACAGTATAAGACTACCTCTGGAGGCCGGGTAAGACAGATGCTGATAATAATAACAGTCTATTATTGACCTTAAAGCAGGCGTCCTCTATTCATTTGGATAGTGGTTTTCTGACTTCCCAAAAACATTCTATAGTTTTAAACAAAGGATTGTTAATTGCTGATCTAAAAAGCTTTATTACAGAATAATTAGGAGTAGAGATGTAATAACAGGAGTAGGATTAGAGAGGAGGGAAAGGGGCACTTAATTATAGGTTTCATTCGACTTATTTAAGAACACTTCTTGATAGCTGTCACAAAGGTTGTATTTAGCATTATAGAAGATAGTTAAGCAACATTCTGGTCACCAACATAACTTGAATGCATTTTACATATACATATATTCATGCTGTGATTTTCTCCCTGTTCAAATACCTTTAGTTTTGCTTAAAAAATGAAAGGGTTTTGCTTCTCTCTGCAACATAACTCAACCTTAGCTGTGCCTCCCATTTTCACATAATGTCCTTCTGATTTGAAGGGAAGCAGTGTAGCTCAATCAGTTGGAGATCAATGTGACCTGAGCTGTTGATTTGATGCTGCTCCCACAGTCAATCACACGCATTCAGCCAGTCTAATAGTGATACCGGAGAAACTGACGGAAGCAAAGCACAGAGGGATGGACACAGGTTTCTTCAGGAAGGAAGAGATTCTTTATTGGATCACCGATCGGGACTCAGAGGGACTAATGTCACCAAAAATACAGCAAGTTCTGAGCCCTGAACAATAGTGCAGGCTCCCTATATAGGCACATAACTCCTCCCATATTAAGCTCCACCCGCACATTCTCTTGACCAATCATTACAAATAAGAATTAACTTCCTGCTTGACCGCATGGCTTGTCCAGCACAATGGAGGAGGGGAATACTACATCCTGTATTCTTGCACATGCTCCGTACACTACTGATCGTATCTTGCCTCGTGCAACCAACTGATCGATACGTCAGCATATGCACGTACACATGCCACGTGGTAATCTCGGCCTACTAAATTTATTTTTACCGAGATTCCACCACATTCCCCCCTTTGATGCCTCTTGATATTTTACAATTACTTGAGGCATCACTTAACCTTGGTTTGCATACACCACAAGTTACCTTTGAACCAGAC